GGCTCCTGGCATCGCTACTAGGAGCAAGGACGCTACTAGGGGCTCCTTATGCTCTGCTCATGCTCCAGTTGGCCTTCCAAAGTCCTCTGGTTTCTTCCGGTTCCATTATGTGACGTGCTTTTTGAAACCCACCTGGTGTTGCAATCTGTCCTCGGCCCATCCACATCCACATTCTGCTGCTTCAGTGCCTGGGGAACAAGCACCCCACAGCTACCAGCTCAGCGACCACACAAATGGTTTTCCACTTTTAGGCCGTGTGATTGGGTGACGGTAAGCCTGGTATTCTGGTCCAACTTTGGGGAAGGCAAGCCAGGGAAATCCCTCGTCACGTCAAGAACAGAAGTCTTTCTGTGTGCCCTGAAAACAACGGGGACTAATAGCGATGGCCAACTGCCCGTCCTGCCTTGATCGATCCTGCTTCTGTCCCAGAGCTCAGCTCCACCAAATACCTTGTCTCATCCTGAAGCGAGTCCAGCGAGCGAGCCGTTAACATCCTGAAGTCAGCTGTGGCCCTTGTTCCTAGTAGCGTCCTAGTAGAAATGCCCTTTGCTCCTACTAGCGTCCTTGCTCCTAGCAGCGATGCCAGGAGCCCCTAGTAGCGATGCCCTTTGCAAGTTCGGTCACATTTGGGCAACTCTTCAATCCGACAAAAACTGCTCTGTCCTGACCGACAATGGTACCACTGCAGCCATTCCTTGCACTCAAGGGAACAGTATGTGTCATGAGTTAGGAGCCAGTACAGTCTCGATATGCAATGTGAGAAGCCAGTCTCAACACCCACTACGTCGTCACGGCGAGCAACGCATCTCAGAATCTGAGTCAAAGGCAAATGTTTTTGGCTATTCAAGCCTTTGATGGACACCTGGCTTCCTAGTGCGAGCTGCGGCAACGTTGGCCGTGTCTCAGATCGAGCAGGTGTTGGTGTAGCACTGGGCGTCACGAGTGGAGGCATCTCATCCTCACCTACAGGCTAAGGACAATTGTCAGTTTCTTCAAGCGGAAGAAATAGCAAGGTCTACAGAAGCCATGCTTCTTAAGTACAAATCTGAGAAACCAAAATCTTGAGACACCAAAAATCTGTTCACCTTCTTCAGCATCGTGGCGCCATTTGAAGCCTTTCAAATCAGACCTGGTGCAACCAATCATGTCAACTGGGTGCACTGTTTGCTACGGAGGATTAGGGGCTGGCCTTACTACTAGGAGCAAGGACGCTACGTTCGGGGCTCCTGGCATCGCTACTAGTAACAAGAAGCTACTAGGAGCAAAGGGCATCGCTACGAACGGAGCAAGAAGCTCTGAACGTAGCAATCTGAACTCTGGACATCAAACACGAGTCTGATTTGTTGCAAATTCCCACACTGTGCTTGGCAAGGTTCCACTTCAAAAACACATCATTTGTTTGATTCGGACAACACCCATGTTCCAATAACGAGCTTGGTGACGTCATTGATTATTTACACTCAACTTTGCACCCTCCAATGAGCGCGGGCTGGTATCATGTGGAATCACGCATGCTACAGAAGTTAATGTGAACACTTTGTGCCTTGGCTTCTGGTAGTGCAAGCGCTGGCTGTTCGAAAAACCTGTGACGCCTGCGCGCAATCACTGCTTGGAAGGAAACAGTTAAGTTGGTGAGGCCCTCTTTTGGCACCTAGGACCTACCACTGGAATTCTTCTCAACCCTTGTAGAACCATCAGTTGATCAAATCCCTTCCAGAATGAATGGATTGGATGGTGCGCTCTGCAACAGCGTTGCTCTGCGAGATGTACTCCTTCGATGTGATGTGCCGCCACCGGCCCAGCGTTTCAAAGGCACTGATTCAGTTTTAGGATACATTAAGACACCTTCTTCGGTCGTCCCTGCCTTGATGCATCTTGGATATCTTTGCAAGCAAGTCGGATGTTAACAAGTCAAACTATTCAGGTCAGCTTATTTGATGGCTGTTTGCACTGGAGGCTTCTGAGGGTAACCAGGATGTACCAGGGTATGAAGAGGCAACTTGCTTGTTTGGTTTGTTCACCACGAGCCTTGACTGGTGCTGGGTGCGACCGATTCGCTGGTCGACTAAAGTGACAGTGAGTCAGTGAATGCGAGAATCTGGCAAGTTTGGAGCTTGGGTCATCGCTTTTACATGTGGCATGGCTCCAAATGGCTCCAAGCTACTTCGAGCACAAAGGGCTCCAAGGCTTGTCAAGGCTTGTCAGCGGGCCTTTGAGCTTCCTACAGCTTCCTAAGTCCTTCTGGGCATCGGATCTCTGATTGATCTATTAATGAAAAATCAAACGTGAAAAGGTTTGGGGGTTGTTTTTCGCTTCTGATCGAGTAGCTTGAATTTTTCTAGTTCAGTCCAAGATCTCAGTAGCATGATCTAGTGCTTAGCAACATAATGTGTCCATAATTTGCTCAGAAAATCATAATCGTGGGTCTGCAAGCACTCTTTTTGCCCTCAAGGAGCCTGATTCTCGCCCAGATCAAGAGTGATCACCTACATGGTCACAAAATGCTTCAGTGTTCAAACCATCCAATTGGGATTTTGAGTTTTGGACATGACACGCACCTGAAGACTGCATGTGTACCATATTATGCAAACATCGCCCAACATAATCAGATCACAGCACACAGCCAGCAACGTCCAAAGCTGTGTTTTCCAGGACGAATTTCGCTGAGACACACGCAAAGCCTCTTGCAGCTCTTTAGCTGGAGGCAAAATTTGGCTCGAGGACTAAGACTAAAGGCTTGGTTCGTGCAGTTATCTTATCTCCGAAGATCTCAAAAGGCTGGTTAAAAAGCGCATCAGTCCAGTACATCCCCGATGGAGGAGCCGGCGGGGCGATGGGGTAAGTGATTCGGCCGGAGCAGTTGGGCAGATTGTTCGTGAAAATCCACGCTGAATGCTTGCTGTTGGGAGGGCCGCGTTGAAAAACGAATTGATCTTTGCTACCAAAACGCACTTGAGCACTTGCCTTCGCTAGGCGTCTTTCCTTTCGGATAGCATTCATACGGCTCAGCAGGCGATATTGCCAGGCGTCTCGTCTCCTGAAACAAAGCAACGAGAACCCCTCTCAACACATTTCTTTTTGCAAGATTACACATATTCACTCATATTCACACATTAAAGCAAAACACAAAATAGAAAAACAAAAGCACATGTATTTAAAGGGGTCAGTTGTCCATCCATATTGCCAGAGAGACATCCGGTAGACTGAGTTGCCTTGCTCATCTCCCCACGCAACTACAGGCATACCCTTCGCAAACATCAGCCAGGCCCATCCATTTAAGAGCAAGCTTTCGTCATCCTGACAACCGCCGGTCCCCGGAGAAAAAGGTCCAGCAGAGATGTGGTACAGGCCAGCAATAGGCGCATCATCTTGATTGTCCATCATGTTCATAAGCAAATCAGTGTCAGAATATAGGTTGCTCGTCAACTGCAATTCGCTAGCGCTTGCGAGGTAAGTCAGATCAAATTGTGCCACTGGCGAGAGAACAGAATTTGGCCAGCCACAGTATCCAGGCACCGCGTTGTAGGACAAGGGAAAATTCTCCAAACCACCCAAGATGGGTTGGCCATCTTTGTTCTGATAGGATGCGTGGAAGCTCATGTTGACAGTGGTCACCTCTCCCAAAATGCTGATGGGCTTGGAGAGAGACATCAACATCTCCTGCACTTCTTTCAGAAAATCATAGGGAAGATGAGGTGTGGTATCGAGGCGGATTCCATCCACGTCGAACTCGGTAGCCTGAAACACGCGGAAACCAAGAAGCAACATGCTGAAACCAACCCACCAACCCTGCTGAACCACTTGGGCTTCGCCCTGTAAACCACTTGTTCTTGGGCCAATCCGACACTAAGCTCCAGGCCATGTACTTCACCCAATCCTTCAGAAATTCTCGCACAAATGGGACAGATTGGTCCAGGTCGGCCAAATCGTAAAACCAGCCATCTTGAATGACCGTCTCATTGTATCCGCGGCAAAGATAATCGCCAGTTCCACAGTACTTCAAATGCGGTGGCCCATGAGCCCTTTCCTGAAAGTAATGTTCCTGTGAGTAGTTATTCTCAGGATAGTTGTTGCAGTAGGTACCGCTGTTGGTGCCATCCGGAGTACCATCCTTCCGCGTGTTCATGAGACATTGAGCCCCAGGACCCAGGGCTTGAATCGGAAAGGGCCAATTAGCACCTTTCTCGGCATACCTGGAAAGGGCGAGCCAAGGGGACCACGGTACCACCCGACCATAAAGGACGTCATAATCCTATCAGGATGCACTTGTTCCTAGTAGCGAACATTGTTTCTAATAGCTTCTTGT